ATAAGGCAGATTCCAAGTTATGCAAGACTTTTTAAGGACGTGATATCAAAGAAGAGAAAGCTTTTGAAATTTGAAAATGTAGCGCTGACAGAGAAAAGTAGTGCAAGATTACAAAATAAACTGCCTCTCAAACTCAAGGATCTAGAGAGTTTCACTTTACCTATTTTAGTTGGAGAAGCTTGTTCTTTTAATGTTTTATGTGATACAAGTGTAAGTATTAACTTAATAACTTTATCTATATACAGAAAATTGGGATTAGGAGAAGCAAAAGAAACAACGATGTTATTGTAGCTGACCAATAGAAGCATCAAATATCCAAGAAGCAAGGTTGATGATCCCTCATCAAAGCTAGCAAAATGATATTTCTGAAGACTTCATTATTTTAGACATAGAGGAAGACATATATTCCAATAATCTTAAGCGGACCATTCTTAGCAACATGTCAAATTTTGATTGATATGGAAAAATGTGAGCTAATCTTGATGGTGGATAAAGAACAATAAGTTTTTAAATTACATCATCCATTCAAACAACCATCAAACCTTGACGACTGCAATTGTAGCGAAGAAGATGAACTACCCATTCAACAAAATCATTGAAGAGAACCAAAATTTTAAGGAATTCTTGGTAGAGACAAGAATGGAGAATTCAGAATTTGAAGAACAAAAAGAGGATGCAAAGTTGGAAATTGCAAAGAATGCAAGGGTGAAACATTTTGAATTGAACCACCATGAGTTAATCACCCAAAAGTCGAGCTCTAGACTATAAATTGAGGGTTTATTGGGAGACAAGCCGTTTTTCTATCGTTTTTTACTTATTTTGATTAACTATTTCATTATATGTAGTTTTAGGGATTGCATTAGTATTTTGGGAACATATTTAGGGACTCATGCGTTTAAATGATTTTTAACATACTTTAGGTAGTATTTTAAGACTTGCATTAGTAACTTAGGCATATTTGCTTATTGAGTTCGTTTTACTTGGACTCCTTATTAACATCCTAGCATTATATTGAGCTTACAATGATGTGATATGTAGTCTTAAGGTTGCACCTAGATTTCATTCTCTAAACCAATTTGAAAGACTTATGGGATGTTCTCCTTGTGTTTCAGTTTTGTGTTTTGAGTTTTGAATTCATTTTAGATTTTGTGTTTTGAGTGTCCATTTTGAGATGGTTGAAAATCTTCTCTTTGTCATTTTGAAAAATTATTTAGAAAATATCTAAAACGCATTTTGAAAATTTTGACTTGATTATAACTGAAAACACCCAAAACGACAAATTTGTCGTTTTGGGTTTTCTTTGTAAATTTTTAACTTGTTTTCAAAAACGCGTTTTCGAAAATAGGAAAGAGAACGCGTTTTCACCGTTTTGGAAAATCGAAAACAGAAAACGACTTGAAAATGGTAAAGATAACAAGCCCTTATCTTTTCCTAGCTATAGGATTTTTGTAGGGATTCATGCTTCGTTGGATAGTTTTTTTAAAAGTAAGAATCAAAGCCTAGAAATAAGAGAAAGTGGGGGTTTCATGACATCTACCAACTAGACTATCTCGATCATTCTACCTATTCGCATCTACCCTGGGGAGTTTTTGATCTTTACTCCTGTATTTTGATTATTATTTTTTTTACATTCGAGACAATGTAATATTTTTATTTGGGGGTGGATAAGTATTAGGATCCTTTAATATATATTTATTTTTCAACTATTGATTGGGTCTATATAACTGTGTACTATTTAAAAAATTTTGAAAAATTCAAAAATAGTGTATAGTTTAGCATTGAATGACTTACCGCCTATGATAATATTTGTTTGAATTGAGTACAACTTTAGCTAGAACTAGACAACATCATATCTTATATTTTTACTTAAGTACTTATTCATGTTAGATTTGGTTACTTGAGCACATAGCCATTATTGACTCATTACTTATGTTGGAACATAACTTGATTATGTGGATTCAATTGTTGATGTGTTGACCTGAGTTCGAATAGAATGCTCAAATCCTTAATATAGAGACCAGTTTGGGGGTGGGAAGGTTAGTATTTATGTTTATAGAAGTTTGATGGTTTGGAGTTCTCTGATCTCACTATTAATTGAAGAAGTTTGTATTAAGAAGTGCAGAATGGGCACTAGTTATCAGCCTAAAACTCGCTACATGTGTCATTTAGAAAGTTTAATGGAAAGAAGACTTGCTCATAACATGTCAAACGAAAAAAAATTACACAATCAATATATATGTTCATAGAGAAAGAAAGAAAAAATAAAGATATTTAGATTATCAAAAGCGAGAGGTGCCTAATAAAGACTTTGAGACTTAAACTCTAGAGATTGGCGATGTGACTTTGAGAAAGACTTACAATCTCCCTTCTAGATTTATAAGTACGTAATTCTAATCACTTTGTGTAGAAAAATGAATTATAATAATTCTTAGAAAACCACGTGTGCTATAAATACCTCGGGATTGGAGAGAAAAGCATAAGGAATAATTTTGCATGGGAGGTCTGAGGAAAAACTGACCACAAGAGGATTGAGACTATGAGTGAACCAATAACACTTAATTGATTGTATTCAAGTATGGGTGTGAGTTCAATATTGGCTAATCATACACACACTAAGTCAAGCATCAAATGAATAAAAATCTATTTTTGATATCATGTGGATCTTTCTAAAGTGTTATTTAAATTCTAACCTGATACATATGGTAAGCAATTCAACCTTGAATCTATTACTTGTGAATTTTTTTTAGGATAGTAATATCTTATTCGTAACTTTTGTTTTGTTTTGTTTGAGGATGAACTAAGGTTTTAATTTGGGGGTGTTTGATAATTGTGTTTTGTGCACTTATTTGGGTCATTTTGCTAAGCTTTTATGTCGTCAAAGTATCGAACTTTCCTTAACTGGGGTTAATTTTCTATTATTTCAGTTTTGGATCCATTCATAGGCAATTGGAAAAAAATGACTAAATTGCAAATTTTGAAAGTTATTGTAACTGGGCACCCACCCAGTTATATGACCATGATATTGGGAAAAGAAAACATTGGTGCTTGGGCAATCGACCGCCCAGGCCAAACGTAGTCAGAATGCTGTTTTCATTCAGAATTCAACTCCAGCAAGAAAGTTTCTTCTTGGGCCAATCTTGCACAATTTTTGAACACTTTTTAGAGTAGTATAAATACCAACTGTCAACACATAATTAGGTGTGGAGAATTGATTTTAAAAGGAGGCAATGAACGGAAGATTGATTTCAAGAAATCCAAACATCAAAGTCAAGAATTTTGGGTTTTGAACTATTTTTATTTCTTTTGTTTTCTTCTTCACAACATATTAAATTAAAGTAATCTTGTGCTAGGTTTTTTTTGAACCAAGAATTGTGAACCTTAACTTTTGAATCTTGTTTTTGATATTAAAGCACGTTTTTAGTTTTAAACAATTATAATGAGATTTATTTTCTCTACAATCACTTAATCACTAATTGTATGAATCTTGTGACTCGTTTTACTTTTGAGATATTGAAAATAAGTTAAACACAATCATAACTGTCATAAAATTCGATAGGGGATAAAAATATACTGCTATACTTTACGTGATCTTTAAATATTCATTAAATCCATTAATGCATTTTTGTATGTTCTTATCCGTCATAGAAATATAGTCGGGTCACATATAAGAATATATTTAATTCTACTCGATAGAGATTATTAAACAATTTAGGAATATTGATTTTCATAATTGAATCGTGTTGTCAAATTCAAAGGTTCGGAGTTAAGGGGGATTGATACAAGGGGATTCAGGATCCTAATGCATCTTTCATCAATAGATTTTCTTCAGACTTGCATAAATCACACTTTCGCATTGAATTTTGTTAAGTTATGCCTTGCATTTTTAAGTAGAATAATTAATGACAAATTAGTTATTGACAAATCGTCAATTTTCATAGTTTCGGTTAAGGCTAAGTTTATTTGAACTTAAACCAATACAATCTCTATGGGTACGATACTTAGACTAAAAATCCATTTTATTTGTTAATGAAGAGTACACTTGCGGTATTTCAAACGAAACAAATTTTAGGTTGTGTTATTTTTCAATATTAGATGGAAAACACCAATAAGAATTACGTGATAACGAAAAATGTCACTAGCTAGCTACCAAAAAATAAAAGTAGTGTGTAGAATTGCGAAAGGGCATTAAAATTAGAGAAAGACGATGCAATTTTCCCAGAGTGAAATGCAATTTGAGAAATAATTTTTAGAAGAATGTGTTTAAAAAATAAGAAAAATTTTAGATTTACGTGCAGAATATTTTATTGTGTGAATGTGTAGTTGAAAATAAGTATGTAGATAAAAGAGTTTGAAAATAATAATGGTTAAACAGGGCTAAATAGTGTTGAAAATACCGCATTTAAGAATATAATACACATTTTTTTTCCAACATTTCTTGTGAATCATTACATCAATCTTGCGGTCGGATGCCATTGAACCCTGTGGGAAGAAGGAACGGCAATGGAGTTTAGTCCACTTCGATTAAAATGGTTAGACCTGAAAGAGAAGTCAACCAAGGGCCAAATTCCTCTTTTTCCTCATTACTCGAGTTCCATCCCGAGAAAGATTGGAGTTCAAAGGAAAATGGAGTGACCGTTCATCAAGTATCATTTAATCTTCTCAATATAACATCAAGTATCATTTAATCCTGCTCAATATCACATACCGTTCTGCTATAAGCGGTATACTTCTTGAAAAAGTGCTCTCTCGACATGTGGGTGGCATGTTAAGGGTGGGAGAATTGGGATATGCTCCGAATTGATTGTCCTAATACACTTTTGACACAACCACATCATGACTTCTTACTTCTTAGTACATGACAATACGCCAAGATAAAATGAGCCAAAAGTGTAAAATTGTGTTGGTATATTTCCATTTGCCATTTGCCAAGTGGTGCAATGTGGAGATATCTAAAATGTATTGGAGGTGAGCTTAGCGAGTGAATAAGGATCATTCACAGGCTAGGCAGCTGGGGAAGGCTCAACCGCTAATGCATGGAACCCACACGAGCTGGGTGAAATCTTGAGAGCAGCCAAAGGAAATCCTGCTCTGTAGTTGAACAATGCCTTCCCCAACATTATTAAAGAAGGCCTCACCATCAACCTAATCATTACACGCCTTACAGAAAAGAGGCAAGACACTTGCACTAGAATCTTGTTCCATGCATATTAAAGCATTTATTGCTGTCTCAAATCTCTAACAATAACAATAATAATATAGCAAGGTGCTAAGAACAACAGACTCAACATAACAAACAGCAGTTATAACCACCTAAAGCTTCAATTCTTCAAACTATGATTTGGATACAAATAAGAAGATTTAACTCTACTGAAGAAAATACATGATGCTGCACTACCAAGTCCACAAAAGCAACTACTTGGAGTCTTGGACCAAATGATATATAGATGGCTCTGGTAAACAACCCCTCTCTCTTTCAGTACCTCCAAAGGCTTTGTGAAATGAATATGATTCAGAAAGAGAAGTAAAGATCTCAGGGGAATATGAATAAATCAGCTTTAAATTGTTACAAATTTCACGGAAAAAAGTCTTGGGGACCCAATCACGTAGACCCTGGAAGAACAAGATTGAATGCCACTATGATATTCTGCTTGATAGAGCTGGCGGGAGCTTCTAATGGGTTCTATCGGTAAAACAACACACTCGGCGAAAGAAGAGTTAATCATTGTTCCATTTCAAAGACAGAAAGTTCTCTACTAAAAATGTTACAAAATATGCACAGACCTTGGTGCGTCAGCTCTCGGCCCGTCAAGAGAGCGATACAGGTACAAAGTATCAACATCTTCACTTGTGCCATTCTCCTCCTCATTCCAAGCAATCACTTCTACTACCAAACCAGGCAATTGGCGTGCAACCTCCTTGCAGCCTTGACGGGTTACTTTACAAGCCGACAACCACAGGAATCTCATGTTGTAATAATGGTGCAAACCAGCAAACAAAGCTGAATCTCCAAAGGGACTATCCCTGATCTCAAGCTTCTGCAACTTAGGGCAGCCCTCCAGTAAATACTTGAGACCCAAGTCAGTGTTCCCAGCAAAAGCAACTGACAATGTTCGCAGTAACTTTCCATACTGTCCAATGTAATTGAAAACTCTATCAGTCAATAGACCAGATACAGCAAGTCGGGTAAGCTTCTTGCAGTTCTTAACAATGGCTCCAAAGCCTTCGTCCATTGGCTCACCAGTTACATGGTCAGGCATATGCCGTCCCATTATACAGAGACGGAACACCACAAGATCTGGGCAATTCTTTGACATGGCAACAACTGCAGCATTGGTCATTCTATGACAAAAATATAAAATAGACTGCAGTTTCCTACAACCCTCGGAAATTGCAAGCAGACCAACTTCAGATACAGGGCCCTCAGCATCTTCTAAAGCCTCAACAGGGAAAACCCGAAGCTCTCGTAGGTCCTTGCATGCTGCAGAAACTGCTTGAAGTCCTTCATCACTTACTGAATCAAGTGCCTGCAGAAAATAAATAAAAGCTCCAAATACATAATTCAACAACAAAGTTACACCATCACTTCATTTACTAGAATGCATTTATCACGTACCCAAAATGTCTGGAGTTTATGGCACTGACGAATTACTGGTTTCAATTGTTCTGCACTGATGTTTGCATAGCTCAGATTAAGGGATGTAAGGTTACCACAGACTGGATATATTGCAGATAGATATTCTGGAATAATTTCCTTGAACCCAGACAGACAAATCAGCGATTTGCAAGCAGCAAATGCGGAAAAGTAATCTGGTTCATGTTCACCCTGAGCAACAATCTCTAATGGACTAAAGGAACCTGTTCCCAGATGGGTGAGCTGTGGAGCTCGAATCATCAAGCGGTAAAGCTGTGTTATGGATATATAGCTATTTAACATAAGTTTCTTCAAGGAAGGTGACCTTGCCACCAGCCGCTCCAATACCTCAAAGTTTATAGGGGCCTCCACACAGTCAAAAATCAAAGATTCAAGACAGGTTACGTCCTCAGGAAAACATGAAATCCAATCCACTTCATTGTCTCTAATGACAGAGTCCATCAGTTCAAGCACCCTAATTTGCCTGAGACAAACAAATCCCATCACGTGCCAGAAAAATAAAAATGCCCTAATCCCAAATTTTATTTTCATTCAACATAAATCATTTTTTTTTTTTTCATTCAAGGACAGTTGCCATAAAATTCACACGTACCCATTTTCCCAGGTCATACTTTCTCATACCAATCAATGCAAAATGAACGCACAAAAGATCAGATTTAACCAGATATTGACTTCTTAAACATATGCTACCATAACAGATATCAGATATGAATGAAAATAAAAAAATTAAATCTTTGGCCGTGGAGAAACAAACCCGATTTTGTGAGGGCAACCCTACCATATAAAATTATCTTCAGCACAAAAATGCAGAAGCCCATTAAAAATATTCCCCTAACAACCAGATCTGAACTCATTTTTTTCCTTAAAAAAGGAGAGAACAAGAAAGAACATATATTATCGTCAGCTAACCTGCATTCACGGGCAACAATAGCAAGTCCATCAGTTCCAAAACCTTCACAACAAACCAAAACGAGCTCTTTCAAAATCGGGAAAGAGTGAGCTGCAATCGCCAGATCCTCATCCCTTACACACATACGCTTCAAGTACAGCTTCTCAAGCGCACGATACGAAATCGCCATAGCCCTCAACCAGGGAGCGAAGTGCGCACCCCAGTCCGGTGGCAACAAGCTGAAGTCCGAGAATCTGGGCTTCCCTTTGATTGCAATCGCTTTGATTAGCCTGAATCGGTTCGTGACTCTGCGAGGTGACACCGAGTAACAGTTTCCGATAAACAGCTCGGATCTAGTGAGGGCCTCCGCACGGTACCACGATTTGCACACAAGGGACGCAGCGTTGCGATCACGCCGAGAGGTCAAGAAACACAGAACGTTCTCGAGGACGTTTTCCAGAACTTGATCTGGGCCTGGCGATACATAGTTCTGATCTCCTCCACCGATGCTTACGACCGTCGAGTTGCTATTGGGGGTAGCGCCTCCTCCTAGATCAGGCAGTTCTTCGTCCTCCGACATTTCAGAATGACTGTCACCACCACTCATGTGAGTGAGTAACTTAGGATTTATTGTAAAAAAATCCAGAAATGACTGGATATTCACTAGTACTAATTATAGGTTTTCCTATTTTTGGTTCTTCAGTTTAGTTTGTTTATTGATTCGCCGGTTGTGGAGGAGGAGGAGAGCGATGGGGTGAGATGTGTACTACACCAACTGCAGCAGTCTCTCCATCTATCTGTATCTATCTTTATCTACCATTATCATCGTCTATGAGAGAGAGTGTGTGGTTGGGTGGTGGAGGTCGGGTTGAGGGGACACAAGGATCCACTTACTTTCTCCCTAATCCACAAGGGCATAAAAAAAGTGTGCGCCTCGATTTTATATGTTACAAATGTATGAATCATACCACGTAATAAAGTAGATATAAGAGTCCAAAAATCATTCTCACGAAAATTACTATTTAGCCGTGACTTAAATTATCCCTAAGTTTACTTTGATCGAAAACAAATAAAAATAGTTTATCTTATTTTATGATTTTTTATAAACTAGGTGCAAGTAACGTGAAATGCACGTTTACCTAATTTATATTTAAGAGCTTGTTTGGTAGGGATTTTTTGGGGGGAAGAATTGATTTTGAATAGTGATATGATGAGAAATATGTGGTTGAAAAAGAAGATAAGATTATTGATGTGATGGAAAATATTATTTTATTGAAAAATGTGTAGTTGAAAATGAAAATTGATTTATTATAGAATTGAAGAATCCGTACCGAACGGGGCGTAAATAGTTTTGTTTAAGAATTAATNTTTTTGGCATAGAAAGTGATCTAATTGGAGAATGATGTCTGAATCAAAGTTGTAGCCAGATGAGTTAGCTTTCCAACGCATTTTGAATCGCCTCAATCGGATATCGGAATACAAAGTTATGATAAAAACACTGAAAGAAGGTACAGCTGTCTGTTTAAAATAAGAAATTTCATTACATAGTCCGTTAAAATAACAAATTCCGTTAGTTTTTCCGTTAAAAACAATGAATTCCGTTATATAACTACTTTTAATATATAGAAGATATACGAATACAATAAAATATGATTTTTTTTTTCAACGATGGTTTCAGTGTTAAGATTTACGAGTTCACCGTAAGTATTCTCTTAATATCAATTACCAAATTTTATAATAATTGATTATATTTACCTCGTCGAATTCTTCTAATATATTCAATTTAACTCTCGAGTTCAAATTGATTCTATTTAACTAAACTAATTCCATATCTTTATTTGAATCTGGATACACCTTAATTAAATACATTAAATCTTTAAGAATTCATGTAACGATCTTATTAACTAGAAAATGTATCTGTACTTTTATATTAGTTTTTCAATTTTATTACGTGGTCTAAACAAATAATCTGTTTCTCAACATAATTATCGTTTGCAAATCAATAAATTAGTGTTCAATTAATCCAAACATTAAGAATAGAAATAAATTTAAAAAAAATCACAAAATCAATTGGAGATTTAGAACTTTTTAATTAAAAATCAAGGTTCAAAACTAGGTTACAATTACTCATTCTAACTAAATAATTAATTACATATCATGAGATAAGAATAAAATAAGAGGAAATTAAAGTACGTCATCGAATTTTAAGGAAAAATGAATAAAGATGAAGATCTTATACCAAAATTCTGCATTCCTCTTGTAAAATCTTGAAACACAAGCTTCTTTATCGATTTCTTGGTTCTTTCCTCATTTTGAATTTGTATAACCCTTGCTTGGTTCTCATTATTTTCAAAATACATTTTTTCTTTCTTATTTTCAATTACACATTTTTTAATAAAATAATATTACATGCAAACTCAAAATATTTCCTTATTTTTTATTTGCACGTTTTCCATCAAAATTCTATTTCAAAATACATAAAAATGGGGCTTAAACATGCTCATTTATGTATAATGAACCACCCAAGCCTCCTTTTAATTGTTGGACTAAGATATGTATTTATAAAACAAGATTTAGGCAAAATCCTTGCTCAAATTGAATTCTCTCCAAAGAGTTTGAAAAGGGAAGAAAAAAATCCATTTTTCAATTGAACTCATTTTCTAATGTGATTTTAATTCTTCATCTTCTAATATTTGCAATTAAGTCATCTTCATTCTAAAATCAATACAGTTGACCTAAGGCAAGTTTCAAAAGTTTGCAATTTAGTTCCCAACTTTCTAATTATCGAATTTAACTCTTGAAACTTGTGAATTTTTACCAATGTTCCATTAATACTTTCAATTGATCTCTTAATTTTCAATTGCTTCAAGTCAACTTCAATTAAACTCCAAATAGCTTCTTTTCACATACATTGTATCCAAGCTCTTGAAACTTGTGAATTTTTACCAATGTTCCATTAATATTTTCAATTGATCTCTTACAATCCGATTAATTTTCAATTGCTTCAAATCAACTTCAATTAAGCTCCAAATAGCTTCTTTTCATACATTGTATCCAAGCTCTTGAAACTTGTGAATTTTTACCAATGTTCCATTAATACTTTCAATTGATCTCTTACAATCCGATTAATTTTCAATTGCTTCAATCAACTTCAATTAAGCTCCAAATAGCTTCTTTTCACATACATTGTATCCAAGTAGATTGTCTCCTAAACATTGGTGATGAATAAGACTAGATTACTCAATACTGACTTCACACAACAATGTAGGTAACATTTTCCTACATGTCACGGCTAGTGCAATGCTTATATATATAATTGAAATCAAAACCCTTGTAAATGGTTATTAGCTAGTCTCTACTTGTTAGCCAACAACATTCCACACAAATTTTTTACATGTACGAAATTAACACATATCTAAGTAGCTCTGAACAGAGAATCAACCATTCATAAACTATTCATTTCAATAGGTTAAGTGGTTGTGCTACATATTGTGATCTTGGTTTGTAAGGACTTCATTCAACCGATTCTATCAATTCAAAAATGCATAATAATTATGAGTTCAGTATAATACGATTTAGCATGAACAAGTATTGAATTAGCAAAACAAAAAATCACATCACCCAGTCACAATTTATGAAACAGAAATAATTTCAATTAGTCGGTATGGCTATCCAACTTACAAAAACATATAGGCATGTGTGTCGGGTAGGTCGATCAGATATTTCAATATCCGAAACCATCCTATACTTCGGGTATTCCGTAAATAGAATCATTTGAGTTCTTGTAAATATTAGAACCAAAGCCAAACTCAAACTCAAACCATCATTTCCGGATTGATTTCGGTTCTATCCATAACATTCTTCATATACATTTAATAAATATTTTCATATAGGCCCTTTCAATACATATACTTAAATAATTGTGTAAGGGAGATAATTCAACTAAGAAATCTTAAAGAAGCAAAATAATGGATACTAAAAATCACGAAAATATAAGAAAATTAAAACATCAAAAGTTTAGTTATAATTTGAGAATAAATAATTTTTTCTTAATAAATTTTATTCAATCCATAAGCAAAGCATACTCGAGCATGTATTTAATTATGATCATTGATTAAATTCTTCGATTCTTAAAACAAACTGACATAAAAAATACTAATTAGATACATAATTATATAGTAATAAGAAATTACAAACCATATATTGATCATGCTCCGTTTGAATAAAAAAGAAAAAAAATTATTTTTAAAAAGAGAACTACGAACTCAAGATAACAAGAAAAAGTATACCACAACCCAAGCAATGAATATATCAAGTTCAATTGTCATGCATTATATAAACATTAAAAATCACTTAAGTTTTTAACCAATGTAAGAAAGTTAAAAAAAAAAACTCGAATTGCAAAGAATGAACGGTTTAATTCATCAATTTACACCACAATCTAGCTTCAATTTTTTTGATTCATAAAAAAGTCCAAATTGTAAAGATTAACATATAATAACATCTGAAATACAACAATCAGGTGTGAGGCAAGATGTAAAAAACGTAGGAGCCTATCTTGATTTTTTAGGGTTAGAGTCTAGAGATTTTTAGACTAAGTACTACTCAAATTAGAATTTTTAAGTTTTATATTTTTCTACTAAGCCTATAATTTTTATTTTATAAAAAATATATAAAAATCGGTTCTACTCGGGTACCCACGATTTTGGTTCAGGAACCAAGAATCGAATAGGACCCAATCAAATATCGATTTTTGATTTCGACTACTAATTTATTTTTTTAGGAACCAGATCGAAACCTCCTGTTTCAGTTCAGGAGATTCGGTTTCGATTAAAAGGTCCATGCCTAAAAGCACATAAAATAAGGAAACATTTAAATTTTTCAAAACGTTTTTTTTTTAACATATCACATAAAACAAGCAAGCAAATAAAAGCAAACTAATTTACGCCCTCAAACTTAATATACATATTGTCCTCAATGTATGCATAAAATAAGTTTAAAGAATGGTTAGCAATACTCATCCTGTATATGATGTTTCTCGTTTAGCACTTAGTCTTTTATCTTTCTTCAATATCGTTTTCTTGCACTTTCTACAAAATATTCATATTATGCCTGAAAATGAACAAGAAAAATAATTATCAGATAATAATAATAAATGGAAGAATTTCTTTTCGATATATATATTTCCATTTTTCAGAAAAGAAAAGAAAGAAAAAGAAGAAAACAAAAGAAAATATTTTTTTAATATTTATTTCTTTTAATAAGGAAAAAAAAAAAGAAAAAAATCATATTTTTTAAAAAAATGAATAACGTAAAAAAGAAGAAGCAAAAAATTTAATATTTTTTTAGAGAAAAAGAAAAATTAATAAAGAAAAGAAAAAAGGAGAAAAGGAGAAAGAAAAAAAGTGATTTTTTTTTTTAAATTGGTCAATGTTGCAAACCTGCGGCTAACCCATGCTAAACGGGTGCAACTATGGACTACAGTTGACCCGCGGTCAATGCCAATTTTTAAAGTTTAAAAAATTATAAAGCTCTACTGGGGCGTTCTAAAAACTTTCTAAAATTTAAAAAATTCTAAAG